CGAAGATTCCGGAAGCGGCCTCTGATGAGTCACCGGGGGTCGAGTCTTTGGTGGACAGGAAGATCAATCATTCGCAGACTTCGGAGAGTTGTCCCTCCTGGAACGGGGCGCCAGAGGGTGCGGCCGGTGGGGGGAAGGAGAGCCGTCCCCTTTCACCCCTCGGGGACAACGCGGTTATGGCCGACTCCTTGGAGATCAAGGTCCAGCTGCTGACCGTAGAAGCTATGGCTGAGGAAGACTATTTTGAAAGCACACCTTTAAAGGCCTCTAAGTTCAACAGCGACCTAATAGATTTTGCCTCAACCAGCCAGGCCTTCAATGAGGTTCCTCTGCCTCGTGAGAAAAGACCTGTCGAGGAAGAGGTTCCAGAGGATCACGCTGAGAAATTGGGAAAGAGGAGAAGCAAATCTGCGCACCAGCGCAAAGACTCGGATGAGTCCCCAGAGAGGCCGGACAAGCAGGAACCCCACAAGGACCCTGGGCGAGAGGACCCAGGCTATTCTTTGGCCCCCGAGGAGGCACCGGTGGAAAAAAAGCCAGAGGCGTACGAGAAGCCCAAGCGCAAGTCCGCGCGGCGCCGTCGGGGCGAGGACGAGGGGGAGGCCGCGGGGCCGCAGGGCCCGGACGGCGAGCTGCCCTCTGACCCTCCGAGTGGCAGCCTCAGCCTGGAGACCCTGCACAGCCGCAGCCAGGAAGGCCTGGACTTCAAGCCCTCCCCGCCGCTGTCCAAGGTCTCCGTCATTCCCCACGACCTTTTCTACTACCCGCACTACGAGGTGCCCCTGGCTGCGGTTCTGGAGGCTTATGCGGAAGGCTCAGAGGACCTGAAACACCGAGACCTGGATCTGGAGGAGCCGGAGGACTATCTGCATGACCTGGGGGCCGGGGCCGAGGAGGCCAAGGAGGCCGAGGTCTCTTGGAACAGCTGTAGCTTCTCGGAGCCGGACGAGGAGGGCCCTGAGGCCAGCATCCCGGCCCCGAGTACCGACAGGGGTGCAGGGGGCACCAGACCAGCCTCGGAGCCCGCACCCCCAGCCCCTCCAGAAGGCCACCAGCCAGGGGAGGCCGAAGAGAGCGGCCCTGTGGAGAGCCATCAGGTAGGTGGTCGCCGATGCGGGGACCCTGGGCCCTGCACAGGGATTCTGCTGTTGTCACAGCTTCAGCCTCCACAAAATGGGGAAGCGGACGCGTCCATCGCAGGCGGTTCGGCCAGTTTAAGGAGGCACTCACTCACTCAGGCTCGGGCACGGGCAAGGCTGCCCCCCGAGAGGAGCTCTCCTGAGATTTTGAGCCTGGGGGGCCTCCAGGAGCCCTGCCCCTGCCCACGAGGCCGCCAAGAGGATATAGAAAGAGGCTGTGTTGGAGGGCCCAGCATCGTAGTGGTAATACTTGGAAATGTCGATCAAAGCACTTAGCAAACCTTAGCCCCCGCCTCCTGCAGCCTGAGAAAACCAAGTGGGACCTCATATCTGACTCCGGCCTTGATTTTTGGTGGCACAATTATCCTGGGCTTAGAAGTGGGGGGCACGCACGTCTGAGTTTTAGCAGCTGGGCACACGCCATTTGGTATTCCCGTTTCAGCTGGCCCAGCAGCTCGAGGGGCCACCGGAGGGGGCAGTGAGAGGGTGCAGGAGACCCTGACCTGCTCCTCCTCTTGGTCCGCTCCCTTCCCTCCCCTCCAGCCAAGCCAGCCTCCCCGCTACCTCCCGGGCACGCCACACTCTGCTCTGCCCCTCCTCCCATGTTACACTTGGCAAGTACTCATTCCTTTTCAAAGCCCAATGCTAATGACACCTCCTCCTAGGAGCCTTCCCAGCTTCTCCCCCGACGCCCTTGCTTGTCATCTATAGCCAGTGACATGGGACAGCTCTCTGCCACTAGTCTGGTTGTGATTTTCCCTCCCAGGAGAGAGTGAGCATTGAGGTATTAATGTTCGGATTCTGGAGAGAGCCTGGCAGGGCTTGCAGTGGAAAGGAAACAAAGGTGGATTGCAGGCTGGTTTGGGGGCGTAAGGTGGACACGGGGTAAATTAAACACCAAGATAAATGGTGATGCTCTGGCTAACGGCAGGGGAGAGTCTAGGCTGAGTGAGGGGCGGAAAGATGCTCCGAGGAAAGAGAAATCCTTGCACCTGGAGGGCTGCAAGAGAAAGGGACAGTATCAGTGGCCTTAAAAGACATTTAGGGTCAAGATGGACCAGAAGCGGTGGCTTGGTCTTGTTCGCCCAACCCAGACGATGCACTGGGCAGAGCAGAATTCTCAGTGACGAACAGCCTAGAAGCAAGCATAGCAGGGCCACCCGTGCTGGGTCTGCCTTTGGATGGAGAAGAGAGAGAGGCGTCCCACAGGTGCCAGGACCCACCTGCCAGCTGCCGCTTCTGCCCCCAGGGAGAGGAACCCAGTCCCCGGCCCCCACCCCCTCCCACCTGCTGCCTTCTTGGAAGCCAGCCCGGCCGAGCAGGCCCTTCCAGCGGGGGACCCCAAGATTCAGCGGGGTGGATATGGCCCTCAGTGACATCACGTCTTAGAGTCGCCAGGTAGGGGGACCATGACAGCAACTGTGGCGATTTTCTGGGCAGCAGATCTTTCAGGACGAAAGAAAGAGGACCGAGTGGGTGGCAGGAAGATAAGCCTAAGTGGCATCTCTGCCCCTCCGTGCTATTTAAAATGGCTTATTAGCAGCTCAGTTCCTCTCCCCGGACCCACTGAATGCGGCCTGCACACAGGCCGCTTCATTCTCTCCTGCTTTGCAAAGAGGAAGGTCATTTGCCAAGAGCAGGTCGTGCAAGGTGTGTGTGCCCAGCATGCGGACAGGTGATTTGGGGTGGGGCTGAAGGGGTCCTGGGCTGGGAATGATACCGGGAGATGTAGATTTCAATCCGCCTTACGCTGAACTAAGCGTGAGCCCTGGGGAGAGCTGCCGTTCCTGGCTACGGTTTGCCACCGTCTGCCTCTCTGGGCTCTGAGCTGCCTCCTCTGGCTGCCCCCCATCCGGTGAGCAGGCCCCCACTTGTCCCAAGTGGGGAGTGCACCCAAGTGCACCCAAGTGAGTGCAAGGAGGACTTGTCGCCCAGGATGACAGGTGAGGTCTGTCTAGCAGACAAGACAACACAGAAGCATTTCTCTGATACCTGGCCCTTCTTTTAAAAAGGAAAAAAAAAAAAAAAACAGGGCGCCTGGGTGGCTCCGTCGGTCAAGCGTCCGACTTCGGCTCAGGTCATGATCTCCCGGTTTGTGGATTTGAGCCCCACATCGGGCTCTGCTGACAACTCAGAGGCTGGACCCTGCTTCGGATTCTGTGTCTCCCTCTCTGCCCCCACTCCACTCATGCTTCTCTCTCTCTCTCTCTCTCTCTCTCTCTCAAAAATAACTAAACATTAAAAAAAATTTTTTTTTAAAAAGGAAAAAAAAAACCTCCCAATGAGACGAGAAAATGGAAAATTTCTTCTTCTAGTCTTTAAAAAAAGTCTTTTCAGTTCGCCTTTCAGAGAAGGTAGCATTGGCCCATGGATGACAGAGTGGGGATGGGCATTCACACTGCTGGGAGCAGATTTAATTCCTGCACGGAGCGTTGTTCTCCCGGGGTGCACGGGACAGGCCACTCTCATCCTCATAGTCTGACACCTGCAGAGCAGTGTCTTACGGCCCCCGAAGGGATTCTTGAGAGGTGGCTCCGACCACCCCCACGCTTCTCGATTTCACTCGGGAACGTTGCCGCGGGGTTTCAGAGTGCCTGGTGTGGACGGTGGTCAAAGCCACTTCCTTGTCAGATAAATGCCAGAGATGTCGCACTATGATCCAGCAAGGGCACGGGGAAGGTGTCATCCCACAAGCTGTCTGTTTGCCAGTGTGTGCACCTCTCCCAGCCCAGGGGTTGCCTTTGCACCTGTTAGCCCACTGGCTTCCAGGATCGGCTCCTCTCTTTAAGTGGGTGATGGTTGTGTGAAGGGCCCAAGCATCACCCAACTGTATGGCACATCCTTCATGGGAAACACGGTGTGGTATTGTGAGAAGAGATCGATAATTATTATACCCATTTGACGGATGAGGCAAGTGAGGGAGAGAGAGGAAGAAAGCCGGTTGCTTAAGGTAACTAACACAGCCAGATCTCAGTGACTCCGAAACCCATGCTGTTTTTTACAGTCTGTGGCCTTGGCACGCTAACCAGGGGTGGGCTTCTCTTCCACGGCGGGCTGTGCTGGAAGGAATCCCCGAGAGGGGGCGCCCTAGCTTCCTAGAATTCAGGTGGAGCCGAGCACTGCTGGGGGCGGGGGGGTGGGGGGGGTGGGGGTGGGGTAGGGGGTGTCATGCACTCAGCACCCAGCCTCAAATGCTGACTTGTGTTTGGTTGTCTTTGTCCTTAAGTCCCAGGAATCTGAAAACTCGGGAAACTTAGCAAACTCTTTAGAAGAAAAGGTAACGGGAGAGTCAATCAGCAGTAAAAAAAAGGAAAAAAGGAAGCACGTGGACCACGTAGAAAGTTCAATATTTATAGCACCCGGCACCGTCCGATCCTCAGAGGACCTAGAAGGAGACACGGGTGACCACAAAGTCCTTTCCAGGTATTTTATCACTGTCTTCTCCCCCCAGAGACCGAGCTAGAGAGTTACTCCCTGAGTTCATGTCATTCTTGGTTTCTGATCTGGGGGGGGGGGGGGGGGGGGGGGGGGAACACAGGGACGGGACCGGACGGCAAGGGAAACACAGGTTCGTACAAAAATTCATCCAGCCAGTTGGTCACTTATTTGCCAGAATCAAAAACGGATCGGTCCTCCTTATCTACACCCTGCTCCCCGGCCCTGCCCGGCCTCCCCGTTACCAGGCCCGCTCGCACGCGGCAGGGCCCGGCGGACACGAAGCCCGCCGTCTCCCCTCTCCGAGTACCTTTGGGTGGAAACTGGCAGTGGGCGGCAAGATGGCCGAACCGGGGTAGGTGTGGGGTGTGAGACGGTGCGGTGTTCGAGGCTCTGCGGACGCCCCGGCCCCCGGATGCCCCCTGGCTGGGCTAGGGAGAGAGCCAGCCTAGCCATTTATAAGCATCTCACAGAATTCAAAGCAATGTGCTCCATAGGCACGGGGGGGGGGGGGACCTTTCATGGCTGTCACATGGAAGCCGGACGTGAATGATGTGGCTTCACCTGTGAGTTTGGGTCCCAGGAAGTGAGGCCCGTTGACTCGGCTCTGGGGGAGGAGGAAGCTCGGAGCGCCCATCTGCTCGGTCACTCCAAGGGCACCGGGTGAGCTGGACTGGCCCCAGGGAGAACACTTAGCTGCCGAAATGTTAGAAGATCCCGGTTTCTCCCCGCCGTCCCTCGTCGCCACCATGGCCACTGTTGAACCTGCCCTAATGTGTTCCAGCATTTCGCATACGGTCCCTCATCAGTTCTCACAGCAGCACCTTTGGCGGGTAGGAGGGACCATGCTTCATCACCGTGGGCGCAGGGGGGTCTGGGGACACCTCCCAGCCCAGGAGATGACAGAGCTGGGGTCTTGGGCTCAGACCCGTCGGGCTCCATGACCCACATTCTTTCCGTGACCCCTCATTGCCGGCGGTGGGGGAGCCACACTGGCTGCGAAAGGGAAGTTGTTGAGATCAGCATTTGGGGAGGAAGTGGGGAGAAGCCAGGGCAGACAAAACCAGAAGGAAGAGTTGGCGGATGTCCTGCCTTCCAGTTCCCCTCCGCTATGCTTCGGCTCCTGGGTGGGCTACAGGGGACAAAAGGAAAATAGGTGGGGGGGCCCAGGTGAGGAGGGGCAAGGCACAGCGGAACGCTGCGTTCCCACTTTGCCCGTGACCCCCGGAGTCCCTCTCCCTGCAGAGACCTGGTCATGACCGTCCGGCAGACATCCTCGTCTTGGCGTGCAGCCCGGACCCGGCTCTAAGTGCAGATGGCCCGCATGGGCAGGTGGCCCAGGCGACCATCTTCTCCAGCACAGCTCGCTCGAGGAGGGGCCACGGGTCAGTTCCAGACGGCTGTCCCTCTTCACTAGGGGAAGATGCAGGCGTGGCTCCAGCCCCCCGGGAGGGAAGGCGCGCCCCCTCTTCTGTGCTGGAACCGAGGGGAGCACCTTAGGTGCCAAGAGGCACGCGCGGATTTCACCTTGTGGACCTCAGAGGCAGGTGGAGAGAGGGTCGGGGCACCTGCAGGCTGAGATGTCCTTCGAGCTCGGCACAGAAGGATAGTGGGATCTGGACTTGGGAGAGGGACAGAAGGCGTTCCGGGTGGGAGAAAGAGCCTGAGCAACCAGCTGGCGCACAGCAGCCACCCCAGGACGTGCAGGTCGGATGTGAGGGGGTCAGGGAGAAGCAGGGGAAGGAACACTGGGGGATCGATCATCTGGGACACCTGCTGCAGCCAGACATCAAGCAAAGGCGGATGTTCAAAAGGCAACGTTCTGTCGGTGTGTGGGGGAGCGAGGCCCGGTTGACTTTTCCCGGCGAAGGTTTGAGCGACGTGCACGTCCTTCTGTGTAGAGCAGACAACAGTCCCCTCGGCGGCGGCTTCCCATCCCACTCGGGCAAAGCTGTAATTATTACGCCGCATTTCAGCCGCGGGGAGGGCTGCGTGCCAACGCACGCAGAGGGCGCAGGGGTGTGCTCGTGGAGAGAACGAGTGAGGCCCCCTGCGCCCCTCCCCCGTGCCAAGCCGTTTCACCTGCAGTCCGGCAGGTACCACCACCCCCCTTTCGTGACCGAGAAAGTGAGTTCGGAGAAGTCAGTGCCTCGCCCAAAGCTCTCGAACAGGACAGAGCCCCCGGGCATCTCCCTGCCAGGCACACACAGCATGTTTTCCTGGCTGTACCTTGACTGGGGCTTCCCATTGTTCTGGGCAGAAAGGGCCATTGTTCCCGAGCCTTCCCGACCGGTCTCCCCCCCGCTCTCATCTGTGTCTGTTCTTGGTCACCTCTGTCGTCCTCCCCAGCCCGCCAAGCACCTTGGCTTTAGTTGAGATCCTGGAATGGCCCCTCGAGCTCTTTTGCCTTTGAGGACCCTCTGTCCCCAGCCTGTTCCCTGTCTTGCTCCTGGGTTTCAGCTCCTGAAACCACTTCCTCCAAGCAGCCTTCTTAGATTCCTCCAGGCTACTTTTAATCCCCCTTTATAGGCTCTCACGGTCTCTACTCTTTTTCTTCACCGCATGAACCCAAACAGGAATGTCTCCAATTATTTGTGTAAGGATGTATTTGTCATCTGCTCTCACCTTAGACGGTGAGGCAGCTCCCTGGAGGCTGGGGAGGGCACCCAGCAGAGGTCCAGAGCTTAGCACCGCACTGGGCCTGCAGCTGGCCTTTAATAAACATTCTCGGGGGCGAATGTGAATAAATAAATGCATTGCTCTCTTATTAGTCTGTGGAGGGCGGGCTCCTGAGGAGCCGGGCCCTCAGCCGCCCGGCCCAGTGCCTGGCACACAGTAGGCGCTTGATAATGCTTGCTGGGAGGAGGGAGTTCGGGATACAAAGCTGAATCAGCCTCCAGCGGATGGTACCAGAACACGGAAACCACCCGCAAGAAGGTACGCGGAAAGCTAGCGGGAGAAGAAAGAGCAGGAGCCCTTCCTGATGTTGACCCCCCTTTTACTAGAAAATAGGATCCGCTGGTGGGAGTTACCTGTGTCTCCAGGTACTCCCGTGAGTTGAGTCAACACTTATGGGACATTGCTGGGGCCCAGGCACCTGACGGTCTCTTCTCTTTGTGGTGCGTTTTGTGTCGTGTCCGTGCCATGATACTCACTCGCCTAGGCTGGCCCAGTGCCTGGCACGTAGTAGGTGCTTCATGCCTATTAGCTGGAAACATGCCCGATGCAGGGGAAGAGGTTGGTGAGGGTCCGGTGGGCGGGAATAGCCAGGCTGCCGATATGAATTCCCTGGCAATAAGCTCGTGGGTCAGATGCCTTTTTCTTGGACCCCCGGATGGCCACACGGTAGGTCCGCCTTGAGGAAACGGAAGTGATTGTCTCTGATCCCCAACACCTCGCTCTCCTGTTGAGTGGCAAGACAGGGCCACCGGGACCTGGCGTCTATGCTGTACTTCCCACCAATACCGCAGCCCCGTGACGTAGTCGGGGTGGGGATGATGATCCATTTTACAGATGAGCGAAACTGATCCGAGACATAAAACACGTGGCTAAGGTTGCCAGTTAATCGACCAGGAGCCGGGATACAGCCCAGGCCACTGGCTGGGCATCTTCGGCCACTGCCCTGGGTGAACCAACTTCAGCAGATGATCAGAGATACGTTCCCCATCAGCCTCAAAGATATGGTCAGAAAATCGGCCTCCTCGTGCCTGAGAGAAAAAGAGGTACAGACCCCCAAGAGCTGGACAGAGAGCAGCCTTGTGCCTAGAAAGCACTAGAAAGGGAGTCTGGATAGCAGGTCTCAGCCCACGCGTGACATGAACGTTCAGAGGACCTTTGGCAATTCCCAGATCTTGGGATGCTCAGAGAAGGCCCTCTGTTTCTTCCCGGAAACCCTATGACTTTTTTTTTTTTTAATTTTTTTTTTTCA